AAATCATCGAGTCTGGACCAGACAATTCAGTTATTGACATCATGAGCATCAATCCATGCAATTTGGATACGATGACATGCATCAACCAAGTAAGCGAGCCTGACTACCCGATCCCGTTAGTCGCCTTTTACGACAAGCATAGTCGCCGTTTTAGGCAAGCATGAGTTGCTGAAGACCCATTCTACCCCGGATCTTCACAGATCTCGATCGTTATGTATTGAGGGAAAACTAGATATTCAAGACCGCTTTTACGTAAAGTAGAACATCTACTGTCGCTTACATTTCTGGGAAATATGGAAGATAGCTTGGCTCTCTGGCCTAACACAACAGCTTAAAGTACACAGCTGTGGGTTTTAATACATGTATCTGAATCACCACAAATTGTAGCAAGGCATGTTTCCGCGCTTGAGGCAGATGCATTCGACGATCCCGCGAGAGACACTAAGGTACCATTGTAAGGTACCAAGCGAACAGGAAGTTCTTCACCTAACGCAAATAGTAATTACACTAGGGTTGCGACCGGGTACGAAAACTGAACTCGAGTACCCGGCAGACAATACCCGGACTAGGTTGAAGAAGAACTTCCTGTTCGCTTGGTATTCACTTACTTACGCTTCCTGTTCGCTTACTTGTATTCACATGACTCAACCGTCACAAGTCAACGTCTTTTTGTATGACGCGGCCAGGGATCGAAACCCCGGGCCTTCCGCTCTCCGGTTGGACGCACTACCACCAGACAAGTGTATACGTAATCACAAGTATAAACATTATATACAACTATAAGCCCATTTCTGGTGTCCCCTGCCGTGATATTGCTGGAATATTGCTGAAAGCGGCGTAAAACCATACTCACTCACTCACTCACCCACTCATTACGATCGAGGTTGCGAATCTTGTAATGAAATCACCGTGCAATGTTGCAGCTGCCTGAGTGATGTTTACTTTACTGATGTTACTCCAGGGTCAGCAAAATTCAACCAAAATCAGGGTGTCCAGGAAAAACATTAATGATTATATTAACATTATCGTTCCGTTATGAAATACTATGTCATTATAATTTTATGTAATATCTAAAATTTAAATTCCTTCATTACAAGTGAAGACAAAATTGATACCATACATGGTACATGGTCTTCACAGGGATGCACTGAGAATTGATAAGACAATTTGTCGAGTAATTAGTCAAGGTAATTTTCAGCTCTATAGTCGCAAAATGTTTGTTTGCTAAAAGATAACTAAAATGTAGGTGCCTTATATGTTGTAAGATGTCACATTATCACCATGATGTCACCTTATCACCGTGACGGTCCTTCTGGACAGTAAAAGTGTTTGTAGCCAGTTTACATGAAAAGAAGATTGATCATGTGTTCAACAATATGGTGATGAGTACATACATTATATTGTTCCACATTTCAGTTTCCTGCTGTCATCGACTTAAACGTAGGTGGTCGACATCGACATGGTAATGTTCAAAAGTTAAAGAAGATTTACGTAAAATGTCTCATACATTGAATAAATGATTCACCTTTGGTCAGTATTTCATATTTCATCACCCTGTACTGTATCAGTTGTCTCCCTAATAATCTGTTTTCAGATATGTTTATGCGTGAACTGATGTTCATTGAAATGACGATGAACACAAATACTGTATTGTTCTATATTTCAGTTCCCTGCCGTCATCGACTTTAATGTGGGTGGTCGACATCTGACAACCTCCCTGTCCACCCTCACCAAGTACCCGGACTCCATGTTGGCCGCCATGTTTAGTGGAAGGCACCCTGTGACCCAGGACAAAGATGGCCGCTACTTCATTGATGTAGATGGAGATGTGTTTGTTCACGTCCAAAACTTTCTGAGATTCGGGACAATGCCTCCCACTGGAGTTGAGAATGATACGAGACAAAACATTGAAATGCCATTAGGAGTAGCTACAGTTCCGACCGACCTTGCTGCTTGCAGAGCATGCATGCATATATATACACATTCACTTGGGTAGCAATATATGTGCAATTCAAAAAGGGGTGAGGCACTTGATAGGTTTAAACAATGACATGATGACAATTTTCTCAATGTTCCTAATAGTGAATGTTTGGAAAGTAAATTCAGTTTATACATATTGGGTTTGATGTAGTAGAATCTGTGTAAAATTTGTTTTCTTTGTTTTCTGAAGATGGACATATAAACAAATAATGGAGTTCATTATCTATGTCAGATAGTTTTCTTTCGTTTAAAGCTATTTTTCCCAGTGTCAAAAGGTCGATATGGTCACCAGTTCTAAACGTAAGTAGGACTCGCCAAACATTTTCCTGCACTACGTTTAAGTAATATTAAAAATTCAGGCAATCATTTTTTATGATACTACACATTGTGCCTTTTGAAGTCTTCTCTCTTGCACATGTCCAACATTGTGGATTGTAGATATTTATTTTGTCATGGACTAAATGTTATTGGCAGACCAACAACACAAACACCTTTAACCTTCAAATCACTCCCACTTCCATCCCACATTACCTTCGGCGCCCTTACAAACAAAGTCCACCCTGACAGGAAAACCCCCACTCAATGCAGCATCCACTCATACCAATACAACAGCATGTAAAACCCCGCCCATGTGCCAGAGATGCGGATCACTCGGATATAAACACCTTCAGCACTCCTGGACATCATCAGCTGTAATTGCAAATGAGACTGTAAAACAAAAAGAATCATTTGCCAGAAATATGGTCACTCTTACAGTGACGTGTACGGGGAATGCCATGATACAAGCTGGACCAATAAACAGTTACCAAACTTCTCAGAGGACTTCTGTTGAGACTTTCGAGATACAACATCAAGTTCAAACGACAGCATTCACTTTAGCTAGTTTTAGCTAGTTTTTCAGTAAATTCTGAGCGGACCCCCTGTGGTCACACCTTTTTCCAACTAAACTGGGCGGCAAAAGAAAGTATAGGTCGAGTTCCATGATCGATAAAAAAATAAGAAGAAAAGGTTTTGTTGTGAATTATAATATAATCGACTGAGGGGTAACACATGATTGATTAACCACAGTTTTGAATGAAATTGTGCAATTACAGGTAATGTAAGCTTAAGGTAAACAATGGTGGGGTAAGAAATTTCATTTTCAAAATTTGTCTGAAATGTCACCAAAAAATTGTCAGATACACTACAAGTTCATTGTCGACACAGTTGCCTTCAATAGCGTGTATGACCTCGAGCTGCCTCAATGCATGCTGTGATACGCCGCTCATCGATGACGTCAGTCTTCTGATGACGTGGACTGCAATCTGTTGCCACTCGTCTCTCAGGGCCTGCTGCAATTCTTATCTGTTGACGGGAGGCTGATGGCGTGCTCTTATCTGTCTGTCAAGATGGTCCCACAGATGTTCAATAGGATGTTTCGGGTGAGTGGGCAGGCCAGGGCAAAACGTCAACGTTCTGCTGGTTAGGAAATTTCCGAGTAAGTCTTGCAGTATGGGGCCTGGCATTGTCGTGTTGAAACAATGTCCCCTGCTGTTGGTTTTGTGAGAAGGGAAGCACAGCTGGCTGCAACACTTGGTCTCTGTACTGCACAGCGTTCATATTTCCCTGTATAATCACCAAATCAGTCTTCTAATCTCCACAAATACCGCCCCACACCATGACACCTCCCCCGCCGAATGGATGGACCTCTCGAATACACGCCGGAGCCAAACGTTTAGTCGATAAACTCGTTTTCTGCCGTCATTTCGAAACAAGTTAAACCGACTTTCATCAGTAAACTGCACTCGACGCCAATTTCTCAGTTGCCCGCGTCGAACCTGCCTCGCCCATCGTAGTCTCAGGCGTCGATGATGAGCAGTCAGTACCATTCCTCGGAAAGGACGATACGCTCGGATTCCAGCAGCACGAAGTCGTCGTAGTACTGTACGTTGGCTAATGGGATGTCCCAACGCTGTTGCTGCCATCGCCGTTACGAATCTGTTTCGCAGGTGAATGAGCCGTATCTGACCGTCTTCCAGTGGTGTTGTCACATGGGGTCGTCCGGTTTCTAGGCCTGTCCTGTGTCCTTCCTGTCTGCCTGTACCGTTGAATCAGCCTGGCTACTGTCAATGGTATACAACCTAACCTTCTGGCAATTTGGACCTGTGTTGCCCCCATTTCGGTCATACCGATGGCTCTCTCTCTCTGCTCCTGTGACAGTCGTGGCATTTCTTTCGTGTGCTTTCATCACGCCTGGTTATACCCTGCAGAAGAACGCATTTATACAGCTAACATGCACGTGCAGTTTATGCCATAGGCGGAAACCTGTTTCACCATTTTTTGTCACCGCACGAGCGCCGTCAAAGGTGGCGCGTTCCGGTGAGGTTTTTTTGGTACCTGTTTCTGGGCAGTCATATTCCCAAGACCCACTTTCCACTAGTCATCGGGGGTGGTCAGGTAGCCTAGTGGTTAAAGCATTCGCTCGTCACGCCGAAGACGCGGGTTTGATTCCCGACATGGGTACAATGTGTGAATCCCATTTCTGGTGTCCCCCGTGGAATTGTCCCTGGTGGAATTTTGCTAAAAGCGGCGTAAAACCATACTCATTCATTCACTAGTTATCGCTGTTTTTAGAAAAAATTATAAATTGCCAACTTATACTTTCTTTTGCCGCTTTGTTTAGTATTTAGATAAATGAAAACAAAACTTGTATTAGTGTTTATTGTCATGGTAAGAAGTAGATACAGACACACGCAAAACCATGCCCTGATATCATCCATAACATTATCTCCCAATTCACCCAAGCCTGCCGCCAACTCCGAAACAGACTGAGTCTGAAGCGGTCGTAAAATCTACAAGACAACTTGGTCCCAACGAGGTACAGGTCAGCCGAAATTGCTTTGATAGAAGGCGACTTCCTAAATACTTAAAGCAACAATAAACAAAAACAACGATACTGCTATAGTGAATGTATCTTGCTGTCATGTGTCAATCTGCCATCGTTACAGAAATAAAAACTGATAGATAACAGCTGTTGGATTGAGGTTAGGTCAACGTGTGACGTGTCATGTGACTTGCATTGACTGGAAGGCAACTTGCAGCTTGACACTACTTGTGTAAATCACGGAACAAGACGGCACGCCGATATTCCAGGAAACACTGTTATCAAGGACCAACATCAATCTATCAGCTGGTGCTTCGCAAAATGTCTTCTGATGTAAGTATATAGCCAGCATTAGATGTAAGATCAACTTGTCCTGATGACATTGCCGCCCCATCATGGTGTCGCGTGATCTCCGCTCCCACCCATCTCTAGCGCGAGGTGTATGCCTTGTTAATACTAAATTCACTTAATGCGTCACTCAATTTCACTATGGAAAAAAGCGAATCCAGTTTAACCTTTCTCGATGTAAGACTCAATTTAATATCTGGAAAATTTGGACAAACTGATATCTTTTATAAAGATACTGATACGCACCAATGTCTACCTTCAACCCTTACCATGAAAAAAAATAGTCCATGGTCCAACGGTTCCTGCCTGTTTTAATCAAAGTATTAAAATGGAGAAGATATTGAACAAATACAAAATTATCAACACCCAAAGACAACCCAAAAATCATAGAAAGATCTTAAAAAGTTTGGATTGGTTAAAAGTCACCATTTTATTACATGGAAATTCCATGACGTGAATCAAACCTACCACCTCACATATCGTGTTTAGTTTTGTAACCCACTGTTTGGCCACTGAGCCACCGGACAGGTGCTGAAAATGTTATATGTCATGACTCCAGCTGGCCCATGTTGCAAATGTTGTTCCCTCGAACGTTTTGATCGAATTCCTTTGGACCGCGAAAGGCTCTATTATTTCACTATAAGGCATTTCGATGTTTTTTTTAATTGTTCGGTATCTCTTGCATTTAGATGGCTCATAAGTGGGATAAAACACGCCAGCGAAAATCTAAAACCGCCAGCGAGGTACCCTCGCTTTTCTCTGCTCGCAATTTTACATTTCCCTCGGAGACGTGTTTTATCCAAACCGTAAAGACTCCGAGTCAGAATAAGACGTCCTTGCATGTTTAACACATTGCAGTGTCATTTCGAGACTGGACATGACTTGTATGGAAATTTGACAAGGAATGTTATTATGGACAGACATTTTTATATTCTACATACATAATGTTTCATGGCTACTTCTTGCCACTTCATCAGTTGAATGACAGGGTGTTGTTGTTGCTTTATATGTGTCTAAGAGGTCGCCTTCTGCCCAGTGTGGGAGAACATGACTTATATACTAATGAAGGAAGTTTTTATTAGATAGATGTATTTACAGCCAGTCGTGAATAGGTTCACGTTATACAGTTAAGAGTGAGTGAGTAAGTTGGGTTTGACGCCGCTTTTAACAGTATTCCAGTTATGTCGCGTCGTGTCAGCTTAATGTGGGAGCAAAGCCCGAAGGGATGCAGGTCTCAGGCCTTTACCACTTTGGTGAAACCCACGAGCACGAGTATGGTGCTGACAAACCTAGAAACATCATCAGGGCGAACCGGGATTCAACCCACAATCAGGTTTCTGGAGTGCCCAAGGGACGCAACTCTGCACAGCGAATCCCGACGACTGGGCCACCCGTGCCCCCTTTAGAGTTAAGAAGGAATTGATGGCGTGACCGTTGTTAAAAAAGAGTGTGACATGGTAATGATTAAAAGTTAAAAAAGATTCAAGAAAGATGCTCCATGAAAAACTCCCTTAAATAAATAATTCACCTTTGGTCAGTATTTCAGATTTCATCACCCTGTACTGTATCAGTTGTCTCCCTAATAATCTGTTTTCAGACATGTTTATGCGTGAACTGATTTTAATGGAGATGACGATGAGCACACATACTGTATTGTTCTATTATTTCAGTTCCCTGCTGTGGTTGACTTAAACGTGGGTGGTCGACATCTGACAACCTCCCTTTCCACCCTCACCAAGGACAAAGACTCCAAGTTGGCCGCCATGTTTAGTGGAGGGCAGCTTGTGAACCAGGACAAAGATGGCCGCTACTTCATCGATGCGGATGGAGATGTGTTTGTTCACGTCCTCAACTTTCTGAGATATGACACAGTGCCTCCCCGCGGAGCAGCTACAGCTGTTCTGAAATATGCAGATTACTTTGAATTACACGCTCTGAGGAAAACGCTGGAGATGCGCTTTGACGCATGGAGGGGAAGGTTTTTTTATTACACTTCTCACTTGGAATACGTGAAAGGGGAAGTGAGGAAGTTTAACTTTTCGTCAAGGTATTTTTATCTTTGCATACGTACCAATGATTGTTCATGTCGTAATCCTCCTGCGCATCAAACTGATTTTCAAGGGCTAGGTAAGATTGAGATACATCTTCCTGCTCTTGTTCATGATGATGAAAGTCGATCTTTGTTGCTTATTATTCTGGCACAGGACTTACAATGTATGGATATCTTCAAAGATGAGGAAGAAAAACCAAGCGACTGTAACTGTCTCGGTGCAATGAAACTTCGGTTTGGCAATGCACCCGAGTCTACACTAAATGAACTCAAATGACTTAACAACGCCACCAACAGAAATTCGCATTTCGTCTATTTCTAAAGAGAATGTAAATGTATATTACTTTTACTTTCCTTCAAAGAGGGTGTAGACGATTGTGGCGATAGGTCCGATGTTGGGGTCAGGGCGTATCACATCAGGGTGGATATCAATCATGATACCACAAGGTTATTACATTGTTAACACAATTAACCTTGTTATTTTTCTACTTTCTATGCTTTGGAGACTATTAGTGCCTTAGAATTATTAATACTGACATGTGGATGTATGGGAATGGCTGTATAATAAAGACAATACAATATGCATGTACCCTGAAGTCGAACGGTTTTATATTAATGAGAAAAGACATTTCACGTGATTCCATAGCATATGATTGTAATATAGCCATTTAGTTTTCGATTATGCTTCCATTAACCAAAAGCAAATTAGGCCACGCCCATAACCAACTAATGCTACCTGATTGGCCGATAAGAGTGGGCTAGGTTTGTTATGCATTATTGCGCTGATCGTTTTCACTGATTTCGTATTCTTATTAGTGGTGTAACGATACGGCGATACAGTATTGTATCCCGATGCACAGCCCACGATACGATGCATCGATTTGGAAAGCATGTATCGCGATACATACGATATTTTCATAACACAGTTTTACCTACCGTATTTTCTTGAGTATAGTGCGCACTTTTTTTCTCCAAAAAACACAGCTGTGTAGAAGGGGTTGCGCATTATACACGAATTAATGAGTTTTGATGTTTTTTCCCCCATGGAAAGACATTACCGTGAGCACGAAACACCGGAAATACCATGTCAACAAATCCATACTGAAGTTCGCAAATTATTCATGTACTTACACTGGCTATAAAAAAGTGTTCTTTGTATATATGGGCTCATGTTTGTAACTTATTTCATTAATTTTATTCGAAATTCCTTTTAATATTGTTTTAATTAATTTCGGCGAAATCGTGTCTGAAGCGATCGGAAGATCGCACAACTCACCGTTATTAATAGAAACCACGGTCAGATTACCGCTATTGACGCCTTGAAAGGAATTTTAGTTGACAGAGAATGGATACATATATCATAAATGCCATACTTAGATTCGTTAAAAGTCAGATTTGTTTTTGTTGGACGATTCTATGTCAACACGTAATTCTCGCGATCACGCGATCACGTGCACGGGAGCCTTGACGGTGACTGGTCAGACTGGTTCCATGTAAAAATAATACCGGCAATAGCGATCAGCTACTTCGCTTAGGGTTATTATTATTTTTAATATGTTTAGTAAAAGCTGCATCTAAATTAACAATATATTGGAATATATTATTCCTGATAAAAAAATAGTTCCAGATACAACTTTTGCCGATCCTTGCATTAAAATACTGTAAAGTTATATCATTGGGTGTGTCTTGACCGAATCACCGGTAGATTCCAAGAAAACGTGTGTAAATGTACAGCTGATTGCTGTATCCGGTGTTTACGAGAAAATACACAAGGTAATCTTAATCCCTGGATATAAAACAATGCCTAGCTGAACAAAAAATACAATTTAAACGGTAAATCAACATGTTTCAAATTTGTACTGACGAAGTTACTCATCACCCGTTCGTTTGCTGAACTTCGCTGAAGGGGTACGGTGTAATTTTTTTCTGCGCATAATATTCAAATTTCTTTTTTTTCCAAAATATTGAACCCGCTAGAGGGCCGTGCGCATTATACATTGGTGCGCACTATACTAAAGAAAATACATGAAATACATGGGCGGATACAGCTTTTTTGGAAAAGAGGGGTGCACAATTAAGATCTATTTATTGTATTTCGCGGTAATTTATACAGAAATAAAGATTTTGTTCGAAATAAAAAAGGGGGGAGGGGTGGGGTGTGGGGTGTGTGTCGCGCCCATGAAATACCTTTAACAGTTTCAAAGCCAGTTTGTTGTTTCAGTAAAACATACTGTATTGCTGACAATTTGCTATGACAGTAAATAAACACCTTATATCTTCTTCAATTGTACTTGTCAAATCTTTTAGATAGCAGAAAGACATCAACTTGGCTAAGCTTGTACCAGTACACACTGTATCGTGATACGTATCGTATCGCGACCCCTATATCGCGATATGTATCGTATCGCGACCCTCCCGTATCGTTACACCTCTAATTCTTATATGCATTTTTGTTATGTTTATGATTAAATAAACAGTGTGTGAAGTTAATAGTGTTGGTTTACATATTTATAAAATATGACTTCAATAGTTTTTGTGTGTTTGGAGGCATAAACATGGAATTGCATCATCATCGGACATCATTTTTGGTCATTATGCATCAAACTTGGAAATATACTCACCATGTCTACCATAAAACTTTCTGAAAGCTTTACCGATGCTTTGAATGTTGATCAAACAGCTTCTTAGCAAGGGTCATGTGACGCTCTTTGAAATCATTGTACCCAGACGGGGCGGTCGGGTAGCCTGGTGTTTAAAGCATTCGTTGTCACGCCGAAGACCCGGGTTCGATTCCCGACATGGGTACAATGTGTGAAGCCCATTTCTGGTGTCCCCTACCGTGATATTGCTGGAATATTGCTAAAAGCGGCTTAAAACCATATTCTTTCACTCGTACCTAGACAGAGCATGCTCGGATAGATACCTAGACAGAGCATGCTCGGATAGACCTCAAAAGTTCTAAAATGTAGACACCAAAGTTTGGAGATGCTGGAATATTGTTCCACATACAGGGCAAGATTAATATTTATCTTTTGCACGTGACCTGTCAGGGAAAATAAATAAACATGACTCGTATTCAATAATGTAACCTCTAGTAACCTTGACCGTAAACAGAGGTCAGGCACAATTTAATCAAATATAAATCGAAACCTGTACATATAGTCTCAAGCAAACGTACACTGTATAGTGTCCGAAAGAAATGTTAAGATAATTGATGTTTTGAAGTGGACTTTCCCCAGGATCGTACACTGACAGTCAGCGGATTTATGGTAAGCTAATGGACATCTTGTCGGACATTGGTCATGTTTCGTGGGAATTCGGGGAAGAATACGTTCACAGTATCCCAGGGTGATTTTGTGTTGTCGCACGCAGACGGTGTAGGAAATAGGTAATGATATCAAACTTGATTGATACTGAATTATTTACAGTCCAACGTTACAAGGTTAGAGTGAAATGAATTTAACGCCGATTTGGACAATACGTCCGCTATATCAAAGCGTGCTAGCTTGGTGTTGGAGGGAAGTTCCAAGGCTGCACAAGTCGAAGACGTTTACCACTTTGGTGAAATTCACAAGACCCGAGCATGGTGCTGACAAACCAAGGGAAATCTTCAGGGATAATCAGGGATTCGAGCTAATTAACAGCGGATCCTGATATGGCCAAGGGATAGTGATCTGTATAAATCTTAACTTACTCTTACAGATCTTGTTTATCAAGTTATTATTTGTAACATGTCTTCACACGTAAACTGAGCGAGAATTGTTGAGACCTATTATAACGCTATCAAATATAATTGCTTTGTCTTAACAAAGCCATGGATCAAGACTTTGAAAGGCATTTAGAAGTAGTACACAAAAGGAAGAGAATTCATGGATGTCAACTTCTTTATTATGAGGAACAGAACGTTTCTGAGTATATGTCTACTCCTTCATCAGGTGAGTGAATAATATGAGGCCTCCCGGCCTCCCGTTTTCTGTTGTTCATTGCCATTTACTTATCAGTGACAATCTATTCCTGGCTTCCATTTGTCCATAACTATCAGCGCTAATTACTGTACAGTGTTGGCTTTCATTGTCTATTGCTAGTCAGCGCCAATTATCTGTTGGCTTCCCTTGGTAAGTTTCCAGCATTTGTCATTTTATTACTTTTGTTGTTTTCAAGTGTACATATATATGCTCTCTGCCTCATAACATTCACTCACCTGATGAAGGAGTAAGCACACACTCCGAAACGTTGTGTTCCTCATAATAAAGAAGTTGACATCCATATATTCTCTTCCTGATGTGCTACATTGTAGTGTTTCTAATCTTACAAAGCCTTTTGAAACTCGGGTAGCATTTGGATAAGTGGACTAGTATATAACACTTATCACTGGATGTTCCTATCAGAAAAAGCTTTCCGAAATTGCAGCTGTTGTACACCAACGCTGCTGAGCCTATGAATGCATGCCATGCCTCTTCCAGTAGTATAGCAATATCAGTGCGGACTGTAAATAATTGATTAAATAATTCTGGGCCAGGCAAACAAATGCTTGTCAACATCAGTAACCAATCACTTTAAAGCTCTCCTCACTTGAAAGGGTGTACTATACCCAGTCCCTCCAACTGTGTTATACTGTTCACAGCCCATATAAGATATTCTTGTATGGTTTCTATCAATTATAGGGGGCACGGGTGGCCCAGTCGTCTGAGGCGCCGTATTCGCTGTGCAGGGTTGCGTCCCTTTGGGCACGTTTGTGGTTTTACGCCGCTTTTAGCAATATTCCAGCAATATCACGGCGGGGGACACCAGAAATGGGCTTCACACACTGTACCCATGTCGGAAATCGAACCCGGGTGTTCGGCGTGACGAGCGAACGCTTTAACTGCTAGGTTGCCCGACCGCCCCGGTGGGTGAAGGGAGTGTATAGCAATGCGTGTATAGCAGTTGGCACCGGCTATATCAGGGAGACTTGTAAATGATCGAATCTGGACCAGGCAGACCAGTGGTTGAGCATTTATATGAGGTCACCGCCTGTAACCAGTCGCATCTCGGTAAACATTCCGCTCTTACGAAAAGCATGGAGTATTGGTTTTGACACCTGCATCCGCTGTTTTGCTAACATACAGTAAACACGTAGACATATATACCTGAGAATAGGTACATATTACCAATTGTGTCGTAAAACGACATTCACTCACCCCTTTAACAATATTTTCTCATCGTTAAACGATTCGCAGTTTTCGCATACGCCTTGATTCAATATTTTATCAACAAATTTTATATCATTAGCGACGTTAAGTACGCAAACTATTTCATATCATTAGTGTAAGTAAACGAACAGTGGTAATTGTTTTCGGAAAGTAAAAGAGGTATATTTTAAATGGTATAGAAAACAGGATTGGTCGCCCATGTGAATAAGACATTCAAGCCCTCGAACGCGTCTCCATCGAAACTCGTTCCACCCGTGAAGATCCGGGGTAGAATAGGTGTTCAGCAAGCCATGCTTGCCGTAAAAGACGACTGTGGATCGGATAGTCAGGCTCACTGATTTGGTTGATGCATGTCATTGTATCACAGTTGCGTTGATTGATGCTCATGATGTAAGTCGATAGATTGTGTGGTCCACACTCGATTATTTACACACCTCCGTCATATAGCTGGAATAATACTATGTGCGGCGTTGAACAACAAACAAACAAACTCACTCGTCCTGTTCACATTCCCACTCAATGACACGCTCCTCCAACTGCCGTACAACCGTATAAATAGACAGATGAGTCATAATGCGACAGGGAAGTAGCCAGTTACATAATAGGGAAAGTCCGCTGTTTCTCTCTTTCCTAGAAACAAAACCGAAAGTAGACCATGTGGAGTTGATGGACATTCCGACACGTCAGCTCTGATCAACACTCATGTCCAGCGCATTACTTCCAAGACTCCTTCATTGAAAAGACGCTTTTCACCCAGTGACAGAACAATGGCGGTAAGTGTTACTGTTTTCACGAAGTGACAGAACAATGGCGGTAAGTGTTACTGTTTTCATGATCAACCAGTGACAGAACAATAGCAGTAAGTGTTACTGTTTTCACCCAATGACAGAACAATGGCGGTAAGTGTTACTGTTTTCACCGAGTGACAGAACAATGGCGGTAAGTGTTACTGTTTTTGAGGAAAAACATACCACAAAGCGTAGAGGGTATTTCACAAACTTCCCTCATTGTCTGAAGTAATTAATACTTTTTAAAGCTAATTAATAATAAATCTGAATCACTGTAACAGTCCCGGTCATATTCTGGTCAGTGCTAAGTGTTATATATAGTTGTGCACTTATACAAATGTACCCTCGTTTCAAAAGGCTTTGTAAGATTAGAAAAAACTAAAAGGCCATGGGCTACTAAGGTCCATCGGGCCCCCCCCCCCCAAAAAATAAATAAAAATAAACACAACAAACCTACTTTTTCAGAAACCTTAGTGTGTTCTGAACATGAAATCATTTGTTAACATTGAAATATAGGGATGCACTTCCTGTTTTCATCATATTTGTAGAGGTTCCCTCAAATTCGCGACTTTGCAATCTGCCTCGAGCGTCATTTTTGTACTGCAACAAAAAGGCCAGAAACCTATGATTGTGGGTTCGAATCCCGGTTCTAGGTTTGTCATCACCAGACCCGTGCTCGTGGGTTTCACCGAGGTTATAAACGTCTGAGACCTGCATCACTTCGGGCTTTCCTCCCTCATTAAGCTGACACGCCGTAATATAACTGGAATACTAATAAAAGTGGCGTTAAACCCGACTCACTCACTCACAATACCATTCCCGGTTATATTGTGTGTGCTAAATAGTATCATGTGCTTGTCAACTTAGCAGCAGCTGCAGGATGTCAAATGTGCAGATAATATTCATGTGTACAAGGGTTTAAGTACAAGCTCTCGTGGCCTGATCGGCGTACAAATGGCTGTCCTTGGAGCGGAGCTGGTACAGGGAGTGCGTGCAAAGCATTCACATTTGTCCTGCTTGTTATAACCAGAAACCAACAACATAAACGTTTCTACCTTACCTCAAGTCAGTTTGAGTTATACAATATTCCTCAGCTATGAACTCGAACAAATTTAACCGGTTCTATCACGAATGGTAAAAAGTAAGTCTAACACACGCTGGTCTTACCAAGCTAGTTCCCGGTACAAAAGTCTTTATAAATCTTGTATAATACGTATTGAAACTGTGACTAATCTAGCACACGTCCAGGTTTTCCATAGCCTTGGGTCACTATGACCCTGATAATATGTGATGGGTAGTCTCGTGGTTAAAGATCAGTCTGCTGAGAAAAAATCCATGCATTCCCAAAAGTATACTTCCCGAAGCCGCTAAAATAAATCAAACGAAATTGTGTTGAATTTCCATTGTATATATAATTTTCTATGTATATATATTTCCCTCGCTTCATAGCTATGTGGGTCACAATGACCCTAAACATGTCACGAGCCAAATGATATTTTTAGATCATTATTACTCGAACTGTGGCACAGAACCGCTTCTCTTTCACATACCCATCTTCGAAAAGTTTATATGTCGCTATACGGCTCAGACATTACCGATACGACGCTAAACCTTCGATTTGAAGATAAAACAAAACCAAATAGAAACAGACTTACAATTGAACAGATTTGACCTTATTTGCCTAGTAAATATATTTATCGAGGTCGTCCATAAAAGTGTTTTCGGGGTATGATTAATAATCATAATTTTCCGATGAAGATTATAGTTACAATCACATGACTGCAAAGCCCTGGATTATCACTGGGCGCCTCGTTATGACATTAAAGGAATATTGCTAAAAGTGGCCTGAAGCTTTACTCACTCACATGCTCCTTCGTCTTTTGACCGCCTCCGTGGTCTAGTGGTAATGCGTCCGCCCGGAGAGCGGAAGGTCCGGGGTTCGATCCCCGACCGCGTCATACCAAAAGACGTTAAAAGATGGTACTTGTTGTTACCCTGTCTGGCGCGCGGCATTAAGGGGATAAAACAAGGACTGGTCGGCTCGGAGTCAGTATACTGTGTCTGAGTGGGGTATTCATGTTAAACTGCGGCATGGTATCTCAGTGAGCTAGCACTATAAATCGGCATCAGTCCGGACTAGTACAAGCAGCCACACAAACACATGCACGTCGCTATATAAGTGCAATAATCTTGGACGCGACGTTAAACCCCATTTCACCTCACCTTTCGTCTTTTGAATCAGGCGGTCGGGTAGCCCAGTGGTTAAACCGTTCGCTCGTCACGCCGAAGACCCGGGTTCGATTCCCGATATGGGTACAATGTGTGAAGCCTATTTCTGGTGTCCCCCGCCGTGATATTGTTGGAATATTGCTTAAAGCGGCGTAAAACCACACTCACTCAATCACTCACTCTTTCGATTCGTAACCGGAATGAGTTGTGTACATATGAGTGAGAGAGTGAATGAGTTGGGTTTAACGCCACTTTTAACAATATTCCAGTTATATCACGGCGTGTCAGCTTAATGTGGGAGGAAAGCCCGAAGTGATGCAGGTCTCAGTCCTTTACCACCTAGGTATATGGGGATAGCAGGGATATGGTGCTGACAAACCTAGAAACATAACTGGGGCGAACCAGGATTCGAACCCATAATCATAGGTTTCTGGCAAGTGTAAGGGACGCAACTCTGCACAGCGAAACGCGGAGCCTTAGACGACTGGGCCACCCGTACCTATGTACAATGACTGATCAACGGCGATGTCCATTATTCCTAGCTGCCTTTCTGAACGTTTGATAAGTTGGAGGTACCCTGCACTCAATAACCTAACGTATTGACTTGTATCAGTACTGGCAATAGCATCTCTTACAATGAACACCAGTTACTCTCAATCCGTGAAGATTCCGGGGTAGAATAGGTCTTCAGGAACCAATGCTTGCCGTAAAAGGCGACTATGCTTGTCGTAAAAGGCAACTAACGGGATCGGGTGGTCAGGCTCGCTGACTTGGTTGATACATGTCATCGATCCCAATTACGTGGATCGATGCTCATGATGTCGATCACTGGATTGTCTGGTCCAGACTCGATTATTTTACAGACCGCCGTCATATAGCTGGAATATTGCAGAGTGCGGCGTTAAACAACAAACCAACCAACTAACCAACCAGTTACTCTCAAGGATGAATACATGATGGGAGGAAAACAGGATCACATTGCATTACGAAACCCAGTTATTCCATTGATGCATTGATGCATGTGATTGTAAAGGTGCCAGTGGAGGGGCACGACCTCTCTCACCTTATGCTGGGTGTCATCACGACCAGTATTTGATAGCATGCTATATATCTGTTAGTATTTTTCTGTTGATAAGTCTTCATGTATACATATGTTTCAGTTTCCTCAAATCATAGATCTAAATGTGGGAGGACGGCACCTGAGCACCCGTATTTCAACTCTCACCAAGTACCCTGATTCCAAGTTGGCCGATATGTTCAGTGGGGAAGATGTTATGCCAAAAGACAAAGATGGACGGTTCTTCATCGATGCGGATGGCGACGTATTCGCTCACATTCTCAACTTCCTGAGGTACGAGATGCTGCCCCCTCCCGACCAGGCAGCTGCTGTACACAAATATGCAAACATTTTTGGCATTAAGCCTTTGCTTGCTAAACATTTACAGTGGGGACCAGTCTTTGCACAGGCCTTGAGAGACAAGTGGAAACGTGGAATAGCCGGGTATGACGACTGCCTGAATCAGGTGCGGGAAGGCCTGGTGGCAAGTCGGTATCACAGTGGTGTCTTGTACATCCAGTTCTCGGATTCCTCTCAACACATGTTCACTCTGTGCAAGGTGGCTGGTATTCCTGAGGGACATCAGGTCATCAACGTCAAATACTCCTCCTCTACAATGGATGGGACCAATCTTGTCCATTTCCTCAATGAGGATCTGAAGCGTATCGGTGTTCACCTTCAGCCGGGGGACTTCCGACCAGAACCAAAGTGTGGTTGTCGCGTGGCTTTTCGGTACATGATAAAACTTGAGTAACTGATGTACCCATAATTGTCACATTGTGTAGTTTGGTGCGATTAATGTATACTTCCCAGGCGAATAACATACAATCTACAGCAACCTATGCTTGCCGTAAAATGCGACTATGCTTGTCGTGAGAGGCGACTAATGGGATCGGGTTGTCAGGCTGGCTGACTTGGTTGAAGCATGTCATCGTTCCCAATTGCGTAGATCGATGCTAATGATATCAATCACTGGATTGTCTGGTCCAGACTCGATTATTTACAGACCGCCGTCAAATAGCTGGAATATTGCTGAGTGCGGCGTTAAACAACCAACCAACCAACTTTTAGGCATAATTGTCGATTAAGCAACGTGGCACACAGGTGTTTGAGAAGGTGAAAGACGAAAAATAACAAATAATTAATTGATGTAACTTGTTTACACTAATTAACAGGCGAGTATAATCATATTCTCCTGACAAAAGTATACATGATGACTACACAGCTAGTTTCAAGCTCTGTAGTGGAGAGTATAGTTGTATATAATGTTTATACTTGTGATTACGTATACACTTGTCTAGTGGTAGTGCGTCCAACCGGAGAGCGGGTGGTCCGGGGTTAGATCCCCGGCCGCGTCATACAAAAAGACGTTGACTTGTGACGGTTGAGTCATGTGAATACATCTAAGTTGTGCTTGTACCATATGTATTGTGTAATAAAATACCTACATATTTTACTGTTGCTTTTAGTGTCTTTTGTCTTTGTTTGTAAACGCCGCACTCAGCAATATTCCAGCTATATGACGGCGGTCTGTAAATAATCGAGTCTGGACCAGATACGATGACATGCATCAACCACGTCAGCCAGCCTGACCACCCGATCCCGTTCGTCGCCTATTACGGCAAGCATGGGTTGCTGAAGACCTGTTCTACCCCTGCTTTTTGTGAGTAAAAACGGATTTACTCCGCATAAACAAAAGGACGAGAAGGAGGAGAGACGTAAGTGTTCCAGACTGGGGACATTATCCACAGAAGGGAGAGATCCACGTTTGTCGCAGAACTGTCAGAATCGGAAATTCGAACAGACGATATGTGGACCTCGCAAGGGCTAAGAGATGACCGTCTGTACTGTGAAATGTGACACCTAAGTTTGTTACTCTTAAATAAATTTTCAACAATTGTGACCCTGCTTCACCATCAGGAAAACATCTTCTCATCCTTCGTTAATAGATACTTTCAGGTGAAGGTTTTATCGTGGATAAATTCTGTACATTTCGTCCTGAGAATCTTAGCTGCATAAAGAGTTATGGTTATTACAGGGAGATCAACCACATTTCTGTTTTCATAAAACATGACAATCCAGTGAAGTGCTAATGTTCCGGATATCCTATGCTAGAATGAGCGTTTGACTGTTGAGGACATTGCACTCATTGTTAGATACGTCGTCTCCTGGCAGACTTCTCGGATGTATAACAAGGGTGCGGCTGTGCCGTCCGTTGCCCGTTAAGGGCCGTGGCTAGCTGGTGGGGCTCTTCGGGAGTGTTTCTGTCTTCTCTTGCTGGTACATATAGGATTACCTTAGTACATATCATATGTGGGTCTGTCAGTAGAGGATACTCCGAGTCCAACGTTACTGTGGAAGTATTTCTTCAATAACTCTGACATAAGCGTCTTGGTAGATGAATCGATCTTGTTCAGAATTTGTTCTGGTATGGAATCGATGTTTCAAAGGAGATAATATATTTACAATTTCCTAATTAAAAATCCTTAATTCCGTTCGGGAGTGATAATATATCTGGGCCGTTAGACGTTAAAGATTCTGGGTTAAGATTGGTTTTCAGCAACCCACGCCTGTCTAAAGAGGAGACTTGGTTGATGGGTGTCATCATATCCCAATTGCGCAGAACGATTCTCATAATCTCAATCCCTGGATTCTTGTCTGGTTCTTACTCGATTATGTATAGATCGTCAAACAAACAAACAAACAAACATATTCCTTGTGATTTGAATAAGGTAGTGGTGATGATTCTGACAAGCTTGCTGGTGTATATTTTATGTGCGCTCCATACTTCAAGTAAGAGGGGAGACAACTCACTTGCACTTACACAGACCCCGATCACGGTGAAATTACACAATATCACTGTACCATTTCTGAGACATTATGTTGGTAAAGGATCATATTTATTTTTTATATTGTATGTATCTCTCATTCATTCTACACAAACAAAGAGTATTCAGTCAGCAATTACTACGTGACTCACATATGACAAAGTAGACACAATTTATGGATAACAACTTAAATACTGTAAAGGCGACGTTTCGGTATAGATCCCCATACCCTTGTCAAGCAAGACTGAATGAAGAACATTGTACATAATATATGTAGTAGGTGGAGCCTGTGCAAATAGTCTGTGAACTTGCAACATGGCAAAAATACAGTGAAGTTTATCCCGTCTCAGCGCGATTGACGTATTCCATGTTTTTTGAGGATACATGTTCAAATCAAACAAGCAGAGCGTGAGTAAGTGAGTGAGTTAGTTAGTTAGGCTTAACGCCGCTTTGAACAAGATTCCAGTTATTCCACGGCGTGTCAGCATGATGTGGGATGAAAGCCCGAAGTGATACAGGTCTCAGACATTTACCGTTTTGGTGAAACCCACGGCACGGGTGCTGACACACCTAGAAACAAAATCGGGGCGAACCGGGATTCGAACACATAATCAGCGGTTTGCCCACGGGAGGCAACTCTGCACAGCGACTTGCGTCGCCTTACATGACCAATCAAGAAGAGACATGATTGACAGTCATGTGAGTGTTTCTAGAAGACGTGTCCTGTAATAGTGTCCACAACGAATGTAATAACTCATGTAAATAAAATAATGACAAAAATATTGAAAAAAACTAACAACGCAATTTAATGTTTTAGGTGCATGTAAACATGGATGCCATAAAGAATTGGTCTGCAACAACAACCACGTCTGTGCCATCCCTTTACCGAGAAGAGGTCAAACAAATTGCGAGGGAGAGAGTGGAGCGAGGAGGCCATGCCAACATTTCACATCTACACCCTCTACCGAGCCAAAGAGAAGATGTTTCCACAGTGACCCACCACTTGACACTACTTAGAACTACAGACCAGCTCTGCAAGACAGAGGGTGGTGATGGTTTTCTGCTAATAGACGACGGTGAATAAGACAAAATGGGATTCGCAACAGACAACATTCGTCATCTCTGCGACGCTGAGGTAATTTATAGCGATGGAACAGCAGGGGTGCCAATTATAATGTTCCTTCAACTGGTCATCATTCACACATTTGTGGGCAGAGAGATGTTCCGTCACGTATATTCCCTCCTTTCCGACAAGAAGCATACTACGTACGACAGGATGTTCCATTTATTTCCAGATGCTGCTACTTTGAGAGGATAACAGCTTTCGCTCCAAACATTCCAGGAATCAATTCAAGTAAACCTGAAGTGCGGTTATTCACTTGGTAGTAAACTGTTCATTAATATTGCAAATGGACAAACATGTGACGTACCTTTTAATTAAGTATTGATGTTTTTATTTGCAGAAGGACTTTGAAGACGATGGCCAAAATGTTGCCATGACCATATTCCCGTGTGAGTGGACATGTTGCTTCTCCCACTTCACACAGGATATATGGAGAAGAGCTGATGCCAGACGAGCCCAACATAACGTTTGTAGCAAAACAGTATTTGTATTTTAATACATGTGTTTATGTGTTGGTTGTTGTTGACGCCCCGATGATGTTTCTAGGTTTGTCAGCACCATACCCGTGCTCGTTGGTTTCACGGAAGTGGAAACGTCTGAGACCTGCATCACTTCGGGCTTTCCTCCCACATTAAGCTGACATGCCGCGATATAACTGGAATACTGTTAATAGTGCGTTAAACACAACTCCCTCACTCACTATATTACAGCGGTCTGTACATAACCGAGGCTGGACCAGACGATCCAGTGCTTGATATCATTAGCATCAATCCACGCAATTGGGATCGATGACATGCATCAACCAAGTCAGCGAGCCTGACCACCCGATCCCGTTAGTCGCCTTGACAAGCATAGTCGCCTTTTATGGCAAGCATGGGTTGCTGAAGACCTATTTCAACCCGGATCTTCACGGGTCTTATGTGTAGATGTATGTTAAACCAGTTCTACAATTTATGATAATATTTATTGATATTATAGCTTTAGTTTTAGTTTTCTTTTACGTACACTCAACAAGCAATAGTGAAACTACAATTAATTATATAAGCAAATAAGTTTTGAAATGGTCCCTGACAGTAATTCTCTTTTGTCTTTGGTCACATACTCCGATGTTAATAAGGTACTTGCCTGGAGTTTCAACAGGCCGACCTGCATAAACAATTATCTGCATTCTGTCTTTTTGTACCCAAGCATCTCACCCCCGTTGCCCCTCCCCAAATCACATCCTGTCACACCCGAACTGAAGATCCTCCTGAAGCGTTAGCGCCTGGAGGAGAAAAGAAATGATAGCATGATAGCAACTAGAGCTGAACTTGTAGGTACGTTTCCTGCTAAGAAAATGCGAATGGTTTAAAATCTTCTGTTTATTTACGTAACACTAAATCATTAAACTTATTGGGCAGTCCTCTGCAATTCTACTCAATTTGCTTGAGCTGATCATGGGGCTCAATTGGAAATCTTGAGCGGGAGGAAGGAACATTCCCACAACCTGGGAGTGAACCTCTATCTCAAGAGGCTCAAAAGAATTATGAACAATTACAATGGTTGTGATAGAAGGCATCACCAAATGCTGGAGTGCAATGGCTCGATGATAAATGGGCTTCAACATGTTTCAATTTTATGTGTTGTGTTTGATGTTTTAATTGAGGTAGAAGATTCTCTGTTTCGAAAGCAGATGTCAATATCACTTGGTTATTTTGAAATATTTGGTATTTTTATCACGGCAATTGGTCACCGTTTACCCAAAAAGATGACAGTTTGATTAGAGGCCATTGACACTTTGGCAGCTGGAGTCGTGGAAGAGACAGTGGTTGAAAACGTCTTGGTGGAAGGTGTTTAGAATGGAGGAAATAACGTTAACGTTTTGTCCTCTGTCATGTCTTACATACAGCCTAACCGTCGCTCACATTGCCTCTGCTAGAATTCAGTGTCGACACCTGTCATTACCACCTCCGTTACTTAATGATCACTTTATTCATTATGATGTTACCTCTATGATAACGTTGAATACAAATTATATCTACGAGGGAGGTTCAATAAGTTTTGCAACTTGGGCATTTGTAGTTACACAAACAATGTCAACTTTTGGCAGGTGTGACACTAGTCATAACATCAGGTTGACACGTGTCATAGCAAGTTCCAGACACAACAATAAGTTAGGTGTGATGGCTTTATTCACCTAAGGGTGGTCACAATCATGGATTCTCTCAAACATGAACAATGCGCTGTAATAAAGTTTCTTACCAAGGAGGGATGCAAAGCAAAAGAAATCCGTGATCGCATGTGTAAAGTGATGGGTAAGGATGCTCCTGACTATTCCACAGCTTGCAACTGGTCTTAGCAGTTTAAAAAGGGTAGGGAGTCCATAGATGATGACCAAAGGTCAGGCAGACCTTCAGATGCCACCCTACCGAAAACCATTGCTGCTATAGAAAGAAGAATCTTGTCTGACCGACGAGTAAGAATATCTGAACTTTCTAGGGAATTCCAAATATCAGTTGGAACTGTTGTAACCATTATTCATGAGCATCTTGGTATGTCCAAGGTATCTGCAAGATTGGTACCTAGAAACCTCAGAGCTCAAGATCGCCATCAGTGAACCGAAAGTTGTCGAGAACTCCTTGATCTCTATACTGCTGTCGGAACCGGATTTCTTTCTCGTCTGGTGACAGGTGATGAAACATGGATGTACCACTAGGACCAAGAAACTAAACTGGAATCCATGCAATGGAAGCACCGAAATGCTCCGCCTCCGAGGAAGTTTCGAACCTAACCATCGGCTGGCAAGGTAATGGCCACCATATTTTGTGATGCAAGAGGCATATTACTGATTGATTACATGCCACCAAAAACTACAATCAATGGACAGTATTATGCGAATGTAATGAAAGAATTGCGAAAATCTATTCGCCAGAAACGCCGTGGGATGTTAACACGTGGTATTCTACTTTTGCATGACAACGCTCTGGTTCACAAGTCGAGAATTGCACAGGCCGCCATATGTGAATGTGGATTCGAACAGTTAAATCACCCACCCTACAGCCCAGACATAGTCCCCAGTGACTATAGTCCTGTTCCGGCAAATGAAATGTGCCCTACGTGGAAAACGCTTCCAGGATGACGAATACATAAAGGCTCTCACAGAGGCGTGGTTTGAGGGCCAATATGCGGATTTCTATAAAAGTGGTATTAAAAGCTGAAAGGACAAATGGAATAAGTGTATTGTGGTGAATGGAGATTATATTGAAAAATAAAATTGCAAAAGATATTCTGCAACTTGGTCTTATATTGAAGTTGCAAAACTTATTAAACGCTCCTCGTAATATGTTTTCATCCTGCGAACAGCACGTGCGTTGTTACAATTGTATTAAATGGACCATATTGCTGTCTGGGCTGATACGACCAACTCTTCTCTATTGCACGTTAATTTTGACTACTCATAGAGATTTGGGTCGAGGCTGTTTGCTCATGATAAAATGAATATTTATTGATTGTTTTCAGGAAGCTGTTAATGAATCGCTAATACAGTTTGTTGTTAATGTTTCAAAACATCCCCATCTAGTTTACTGACGAAACCTATATCATATCATCTTAACACACTGGTGAGCAGATATACATCCTTTGTTTTTAAGCCAACTCATTGCTGAGTATGTTTTCATACTGGCTAGTATTGTGCACAACCACCAGTAGCTTAAGTGATGACGTAAATCTTGCTTGGGTATTATGCAGGAAGCAGAGGTACTGTAAGTCCCCATGATCCCGAGCGAAGTGGCCTAGCTTTGGTTACTAGTGACCTTTAGCCCGTGTTTGAAAACTCTATACATGATATTGTTATGCTCAAATATGTTTCATAAATTGATTTTAAATATTACTTTGAATAAATGACTCAAATGTGAATAACTTAACTTGGTCTCGTCGCTATATGACTTAAATAATGCCGATGGGCCATTAAATTTTAACTCACTCACTCTTATCTTTCAACCGGATAATATATTAAACTTTGAGATTGGGCAGGTTAACAGACAAATAAATTGCGCCGAGGTCAAGGTTTAAGTTTCCTTCTGCTTATCTTATCATGAACAAGATCACAATGCAATATTACCGGGACACAACTCCACGCGTTTCTGCATTCGTAGTTACACAGCGACTTGAGGTAGGTTGCCTTCTATAATCTCTCTACCAGTCGACATTAGGGTAGGACGATACTCTCGTTCATTACTTGTTCTGGAATTGTATGTTATCACTTTATTATCACCCTAATGGTGACGTCACGCTATTGTTGTTGCAGTTGATTTTGAACCAGGAATTCACTGGCCATTCGTGCAAAATTTTAAAAAGTAAAACTGACTCAACGGATTTTTGGTCATTTTCATTATCGTTGAGAGAAATTATCAATCTCATTACGGTTGAAGTCAGAGAAATCACATGAATTTTCGTGTCTCGTTGATTCTACTTCCGGAATCAGAAAAAGCAGAGATGCTTTAAAATCTCTTTGTTTAACATATCTTCCTCGGAACCAATGTAGAGGGCAGAGGAGGTGGGACAAATTGCAATGATTAATGAATCGCTATACACGGGGATAGAAGGTATGAGGTGAATATGGACTAGACTGGGTAAACTTGCAACGAATTAATCTGGCTTCAGCTTTAACCTGTGTGAGTGTGTGTGTGTGTGTGTGCGCGTGCGTGCGTGTGTTAATACGCACATATTAGCGGGTTCGTATTTCAACGTTGTTACTGCATGTGTATCATTACGGTGGGTGCCGATGACACTTAAATTGATTCCACAGCTGCTTTCCAAATCCAACATGCCATGCTTTTGTGTATATAATATCATTATGTATTGTGAACTGTATAACCAGCCTGGCGAGACAGTGCAAACTACACACACTCAAGAGACCTGCTTTAAAATGATCCGTTACTCATATTATAAAACACTTCTTTGCCTGGCCCAGAACCGATTATTTACAGTCCGCCCTAATATTGTTAGATTACAGGTACATCATAACATGCACGCATTAGCTCATCACAACGAGCTGTAAAACAGCCGGAATATCCGAGTAACTCCAATGCGAGACTATGAGGGATCGTGTCTAGGTTAACATGACCTGTAACCTGGCTATGGCGATTTCCAGTTTACAGCAATATGATTTCTTTGTGATTGACCCCTGTGGTCACATTATAAAGTTCATTACAAATAAATATAGTATCATCAAATATTAAGGCTTGTTGTACCTTTCCACATTTTGTCAGTTAGGTAATTGCATTATATTTTTTCAGATAGAACTTGCTGGAAGTATCATTCTCACTCGCAAACCTCAGTGCAGGGCATAGCCCAGATTCCAGCTGTGTATCATTTATTATTTCCCAGCACCATTCACGTGCGCCAAGGTGTTAAACGTCTAGCACGTGTATTAATGTTGAGAATTGAGATAAACACCGCTTGTACAGTATTTCATTCAGGGCGATTCTGGGTTTTTTAAAAACACGATCATATGTTTCTAAAGGATGCAACTGTGCATATCACCTTGCTTTAGACGACTGTGCCACTTGTAACACCATCTGTCAGTAATCCAACTTATAACCCCAACTAAACTGATGAATTGTTGTTTATGGTGTTCCTTAACAAACCATTCACTCAAATTGACAGGAACAAACTCACATTCTAAAATTTACCCCGCTTTTCTTTTGTTTCTAGATAGAAACCTACAAGCAATACTCGACACCCTGAACACGTGAATATTACTTACAACTGTGGACTTCACAAAGTATATTCTAACATTATGCAGGTGAGTGTACGATGTAAATGTTTTGCCTATTGAAACACTGTGGTTCAAGAAAAAGTGTCAACATTTACTTTACTACATATCGAGTGTGAGGATGAGTAGGCAACTAAGTTTACAGTGGCAAAGTGTCCAAACCGTGTGTATCAGCCCCAGTGCGATGAGTCTACCGAAACATGTTATTACCCAAATGCTACCGGTAGGGCAGGACATACTTCCCCTTTTCGCGAACACCTGGTGTCATCACTTTTAGTGATCCATTCAAATTGTCACCGCTGTTTTGTCTTTTACGCCTTAAAATATTGTTCTGCGGATAATAATACTCGATACTTTTATGCCCTGGCGTTGGCGGTATATTATAATTCACCGCATCAAAAACATTGGTGCCTAGATTGTGTAAAATCTGAACAAATCACAAATTCACGTCAAAGGAATTGTAATCTATTAAGAACCTTAACTCACTTTGCATAAGAGAAAGGAGAAAGGCAAACTGGAGTTCTCTATTTAATTAATGAAGTAGGGGTAGAGTGAGTGAGTGAGTGAGTGAGTGAGTGAGTGAGTATGTAACGTCACATCGGCAGTATTTCAGCCATATCGTGAAGAGAAGTTATGCATTAATAATACACATATTTAGATTAAATAAAAAACTGTCAAACGATGGACAGTACAATAACTAAAATATCACAGATGCGATGTAAAACTGGTTGAGAATATTAAAAAGCAGGAAGTAAGAGTATGGGTAGAATAGGTCTTCACAACCAATGCTTGCCGTTATCTGCGACTGACGGGATCGGGTGCTATACACAGGTGCAGGACGCACATATCTGAAAGCGAAAAACAAAATAATCAATAATTAAAGTGATGGCATACCTAATCTCTCACGGTAAACAGCCAGTGCACAGAGAACACAGCAAACGCTATCTTTATAGAACCAACATCGAACTACCAACTCCTCCATACTTTCCAGAAATGTAAGCAAAAGTATATGTTCTACATTAAAGCGGCCTTGAATATCTAGTTTTCCCTCAATACATTACGATTGAGACCTGTGAAGATCCGGGGTAGAACGGGTCTTCAACAGCCCATGTTTGTCGTAAGAGGCGACTAACGGGATCGGGTAGTCAGGCTCGCTAACTTGGTTGATGCATGTCATTGTATCCAAATTGCGTGGATTGATGCTCATGATGTCAATCATTGGATTGTCTGGTCTGCTGAGTAAGGCGTTAAACAACAAACAAACAAAATGAGGTAGGTGGCATATCCACCGTCATATGTAGCTTGATTCCCTGATGTATATACACTGAACTTTGTCTGAATCCATTCGATGTTTGTCGTAATTGGGAAACATGCATCATTGCCTCATATGATGTTCTTATCTTATGGCACATTACATGTGTTGGTTGGTGAATTATCAAATAACTGAATCAAACTGAATGTCCATCTTCATGTTCAAATACATCAAGTGCTGTAAACAAGCCAAATGACTATTTAGCTTGAGTCATATTTGGTGAATATGTTATCATGTTCAAGTTGGTCAACATTAACGTGTGAGCTCACCATGTGATTTGATTTGTCAATTAATTGTAGTTCCAACAATGTAAATGTTCATCACGAGTAATATAGTAGTCAGGGTCAAAGACGCGAGTAAGTCCTTGCTGTATGTTCTGCTATTGATCGCTGAATGTGGGTAATGGACATGACGGGTGTTGTCATACGTTGTCTCGAATATTTGAATTAGAATTAGAGTTATCAGAAATTTTGTCATTGCGATATGAGCAATGCACACACACCCCTTCCTCCCCCCCCCCCCCCCCCCCCCCCATTGTCATGTGCGTTTTATGCACCTTAAAAAGTCTTATCTCAGAGTGTATTTACATACTAGCCTGTTGGGATTCCGGGAAAGAATAGGTCCTTAGCTACAAGGAAATGAACAGTGCTATTTACGCATTACATGTGAACGTGGTCTCGCGTGGTTTTTTTCACCCCGAAATGATATCTGTAAATTCAGTTCACAATACATAATGATATTATATACACAAAAGCAGGGAATGTTTGATTTGGAAAGCAGCTGTGGAACCAATGTAAGTGTCATCGGCACCCACCGTAATTACACACATGCAGTAACAACGTTGAAATATGGAAATCGTTGAAAAGGAATACATTTCTGGTTTTGTTATCATTCAGGCTATGTATATAGTGCATTTTACATTTGACCGATTGGTCTAATTTAAGAGATAAACATACTATACTTTTCATGGAGCTAGGTTACCTGTAAATATGACTGCGCCAAGTTGATTCTGGAGCATGATCGATAAAAAAGTTAGTTTAGAATGTAAATATTAGCTTCGATGCGACCGTTAAATCAGTGTTTCAGTCAGAGGCGGTTATTGTGATTTGACACCTTTGATAGACCAATGAGAATCGAGTATTTTCTAAATGTAAGGTAGAATCACATGTGCATTAACAATGTGTTGTATTTCAGGATTCTCAAGTTGTGGACTTAAACGTTGGTGGTCGACATCTGACAACCTCCCTGTCCACCCTCACCAAGTACCCAGACTCCATGTTGGCCACCATGTTTAGTGGAAGGCATCCGGTAGCCAAGGACAAAGATGGCCGCTACTTCATCGATGTAGAAGGGGATGTGTTTGTTCATATCCTCAACTTTCTGAGATTCGGGAAAATGCCTCCACCCGAAAGAGCATCAGAGGTTAATGAATATGCGGAGTACTTTGGATTACAGGAACTGAAGGCACCTGTCCCCGAAGACTTTGAACAGGTGCTCTACGGAATATGGAAAAAGGAGCTACCTGACTACCAACGTCACTGGGAAAAAGTGAAAGAACAATTAGGCAATATTTCCACAAGTTACTTTTACATTTGCACAAGAAAGTCTGATTGTGGAAAACTGCCTAAAACAGATATAGGTGCACTGACCCCAGGCAATTATTACACTATTGAATTATCTTTCGACTCAAACGTATCTATCTTTTTCAATCTTCTTGCAGTCGACCTGAAAAAACGTAATGTCTTCACCGACTCTTGTCTGAGGGAATGCCCGGGTTGTTGTTGTAGAGCAGCAATGGGATTCAGAATTGGACGATGATCCAAAATTGTCACACTTTGAGTCGACAGATAATTCTGATGAAAGGAATGTGAATCAGCCGTGGCATGGGTGGAGATCTCTGTTGCCTGCTGCTGTGATCTTGAAGCGCTGAGTCATTGGTTAATGTTCGTCTAATTGATGATCAAATCTAGCAAGACCTACTAGTATTATTACGGAACATTTCTTTTCAATGTATATAGACTCAAAATCAAACGGGATACTAATACAAGACAACTGTTAACAGAGCGATTTACGTTTTGCTGCTTCTCTAGGTTCTTAATTTCCTTGGGATTTCCGTGTCAGAATAGGTCCATGGTATGCTATACGTGCTGCAAGTGCCGACTAGGGTGGGTACACTGGCTGACTGTTTGCTACTTGTACCAGGGTTTTAGATGATGTTAAATAGCTGAAATATTGCTGACTGTGGCGTAAAACAAATCCGTTGCCATTTTGCCGAACCAGGTGTTGTTGTTTTTTGTCGCTTTTATGTAAGGCTAGGACACAAACATTATTAAAATGAAAATTGTTCCTTCTGGCTTACTTTTTGACATATGTACAATGTAAAAGAATGTATGTGAATATCGTTAATAGCTGAATTGTTTAAAGCTTGCAGTATACTGGGTTCCTTTTCACTCTTGACTTGTTTTGAACCCATTGTTAGAGTGATGAAGAGTATTTAGAATTCAGTGTTTGTCTTGGTAAAAAACAAAATGTTCCTCGTGTTGGTTCAGTTATAGTAGACATCTATTTAATGTGCGTTTCCTAATCACGACAAGAAAAAGCATCTTTCCTGACGTTTTGAAAGGTGTTGGTATTGATCAAAATGCATACATTTTGCAAGCATTCCAAATCATTTGGTTATATTTATATGTATGCCTAGTTTGGGAATGTTTGGAAATGTTGGAGAAATGCACACACTTACATCAGTGTCCATACCCGCCTACAATCTTGCCGGTGTGTTATGTCATGTGGCAGGAGCTAGCGACACACAAACAAATTAATAACTTTTTCATGTATTTGTGTTAATTTGGACAGTTTACTATTTCAGACCTTATTTCAAACGTTAGAAATGAAACATTTCCCTTAAACTTCCCTGTACAGAAATATATAGGGAATTGTACAAAATGTTTGATGCAGGTTTGGCATATATGAGATAAGATTGGCACCCTAATGTTTGAAATACCAAGAGAAATACAAGCAGAATCAATAACTTTTGTCACTTTATTTCCTTCCATGACTATGTACAGGCATCAATGCACCATCAAACCTTATGAAATACATTGGAAATACATGGACATATAGCTCGGTATCCATGCATAGTCTGTAGACAAAGACAGAGCTCGTTAGGCAGGACAAAGAATGCTTTGTACACTCCCGACCAGGCAGTTGCTGTAAACAAATATGCAAACATTTTTGGCATTAGCCCTTTGCTTGCTAAACATTTACAATTGGGACCAATCTTTGCGCAGGCTTTGAGAAACGTGGAATAGCCGGGTATGACGACTGCCTGAATCAGTTGCTGGAAGGCCTGGTGGCAAGTCGGTATCAAAGTGGTGTCTTGTACATCCAGTTCTCGGATTCCTCTCAACACATGTTCACTCTGTGCAAGGTGGCTGGTATTCCTGATGAGCATCAGGTCATCAACGTCAAATACTCCTCCTCCACAATGGATGGGACCAATCGTGTCCATTTCCTCAATGAGGATCTGAAGCGTATCGGTGTTCACCTTCAGCCAGGGGACTTCCGACCAGAACCAAAGTGTGGTTGTCGCGTGGCTTTGCGGTACATGATAAAACATGAGTAATTGATGTACCCATAATTGTGACATTGTGTGGTTTGGTACGATTAATGTATACTTCCCAGGCTAATAACATACAATGTACAGCAACCTATGCTTGATGTAAAAGGCGACTATGCTTGTCGTAAGAGGCGACTAATGGGATCGGGTTGTCAGGCTGGCTGACTTGGTTGAAGCATGTCATCGTTCCTAATTGCTCAGATCGATGCTAATGATATCAATCACTGGATTGTCTGGTCCAGACTCGGTTATTTCCACCGTCAAATAGCTGGAATATTGCTGAGCGCGGCGTTAAACAACCAACCAACCAACCAACCATCTTCATGATTTTAAGCATAATCGTCGATTAATCAACGTTGCACACAGGTGTTTGAGAAGGTGAAAGACGATAAAAATAACAAATAATTGATGTAACTTGTTTACACTAATAAACAGGCGACGATAATCATATTCTCCTGAGAAAAGCGTACATGATGAATATACAGCTAGTTTGCATTTCAAGCTTTGTAGTGAAGAGTATAGTTGTATATAATGTTTATACTTGTGATTACGTATACACTTGTCTAGTGGTAGTGCCTCCAGCCGGAGAGCGGAAGGTCCGGGGTTCGATCCTTGGCCGCGTCATACAAAAAGACGTTGACTTGTGACGGTTGAGTCATGTGAATAGATCTAAGCTGTGCTTGTATCATATGTATTTTGTAATAAAATGCCTACATATTTTACTGTTGCTTTTAGTGTCTTTTGTCTTTGTTTGTTGTTTAACGCCGCACTCAGCAATATTCCAGAGCTTGGACTAAACAATCCAGTGATTGATGTCATGAGCATGATGAAACGTCAATGCCGTTTGTTGTGAATGTATCAAAACACTAAAACGCACCCCGTCTAGTTTACTGACGAAACCTATAACATATTATCGTTGCACACTGGTGTGCAGAGATGCATTTTATCAGCTGATGGATAATGCCGAGGTCAAAGTTTTGTCCTGCTTATCAAGATCAAAATGCAGTATTGCCGGGACATAACGCCACGCCTTTCTGCATTCGTAGTTACACAGCGACTTGAGGTAGGTTGTTAAAATGCCTTCTATAATCTGTCTACCATTTATGATCTTCCATCTATAATGTTCACACGAGTGGAGGACGATACTCTCGCCTAGTCCAATACTAGTTCTAGAATTGGTTGTTATCCCTTTATTATCACCCTTATCATGACGTCAAGCTATTGTTATTGCAACTGATTTTGAACCAGGAATTCACTAGCCGTTCGGAACGTTCAAAACTGACTCAGCTATTCGTGGTCATTGTCGGATCTCGTTGATTCTAGTTCCGGAGTCATCAGATTCCCCTTTACAGAAAAAACAGAGATGCTTTAAAATCTCTTTATTAACATATTTCTCGAAACCAATGTAGAGGGCAGAGGTGGTTGGACAATTTGCAATGATAAATGAACCGCTATATACACGGGGATAGAAGGTAGGAGCTTAATATCACGACATGGGTACAATGTGTGAAGCCCTTTTCTAGTGTCCCCCGTCGTGATATTGCTGGAATATTGCTAAAAGCGGTGTAAAACCATACTCACTCACTCATTATGAGCTTAATATGTACGAGACTTGCAAAAAATTAATCAGGCCTTAACTTTACACCTGAATGTGTGTGTGTGTGCGTGCATGCTAATATGCACATATTCGTGAGTATGTGTTTGAATGTGGTTACTGCATGTGAAGCAATACAGTTGATGCCGATGACACTTACATTGGTCCCACAGATGCTTTCCAAATCCAACATTCCATGCTTTTCTGCACAAAATATTATCATGTGTTTTGAACTTTATAAACAGCCTGGCAGGGCAGTGCAAACTACACACCCAAGAGACCAGATTTAAAATATCCGTTACTCATATTATCAAACACTTGTTTGCCTGGCCTGGAACCGATTATTTACAGCCTGCCCTAATATTGTTACACTACAGGTACATCATAACATGCACGCATAAGCTCATCACAACGAGGTGTAAAACAGCCGCAATATCCGAGAAACATGTGACTTTGTTACTCCAATGCGAGTGTACCTGCGTAAATGTACCTGGATATGGCGATTTCCAATTTACAGAAATACGCTTTCTTTGTGAGTGACACCTATGGTCACTTTATTTAGTAATTACAAATAAACATAGTTTCGTCAAATATTTAGGCTTATTATACCTGTTCCACATTTGTCAAGCCCAGTTGTTTGTCTATTTATTCTATCTTTCCATATAGAGCTTGCTATATGTATCATACTCAGCGCAGGGCATATCCCAGATTCGAGCTGATATGATTTATGATTGCCCAGCACAATACACGTGTGTCAAGGTGTTAAGCGTGCAGGACGTGCAGTACTGTGGGATTAATGTGCGAGTTGAAATAAACAGTTATATAACAGCTTGCCAGATTGATATGGGACGAATCGATTCAGGTCGCCACACTAACGGATATGGTGTTGTCAAACCATTTCAGGGCGATTCTGGATTCAAACTCACAATCATAAGTTCCTAAAGGGCGCACATCAAATTGCCTCATCAATTGGGCAACTTGTGCACCTAGTTATCAGCTCATGGTATAACTAAACTGCTGCATTGTTGTTCAAAGTGGGTTTTAAACAAAAACCACTCAAATTGATAGAAAGCAACTCACATTCTTTAATGTATTTTCAGGTGAACATTTGACTTGCCTCACCATGTGAATATCACGGGTGCCAGAGGTGGGACAGGATACGTTCGCCTTTTCGTGAACATCTGGCATCATCATTGTTTGATAGTGTTTCATAAACACCTGCTCATGAGAGAGTGAGTGAGTTTGGTTTACCCCGCTTTTCCTTTGTTTTTAGATAGAAACCTACAAGCAATACTCGACACCCTGAACACGTGATAATTACTTACAATTGTGGACTTCACAACGCATATTTTGACGCTATGCAGGTGAGTGTACGATGTTTTCTCTTTTTCCTATTGAAACTCTACGGTTTAAGAAAAAGAGTCAACATTTTATTTTACTGCATATCGAGTGTGAGGATGAGTAGGCATTTAAGGTCACATCGGCAACTAAACCCTGTGTTGATATCAGCTGTTTCCCCAATGAGATGACAATCCACGCCGAAATGTTCACTTTCTTCAAAACTGCTGTCGATAGTAAAAGGACACGTTTACCCTTTTTCTCGAAAACCTGGTGTCCTCACTGATTTGCATCCTAGTTTTAGTTTTGCACCCAATGGAATCATTTTCGGCGGATAATCGCGCCCGAGACTGTTAATCTCTTCTGGCGTTGGTGTGTAATATAAATTCATTACACAGTAACAGTATTGATGCCCGAGTTGTGTAAAATCTCCTCAAATCACAAATTCACGTCAAGGGTCTAATATGAAGCTTAACAGAGAAAGACAAACGAGACTCTTATTTTATGAAGGTGTCATATCCACTGTCATATGTAGCCTGATTCCCTTATGTATACTTAGATTCTTTTCTAAATCCATTCAATATTTGTCCTCATGAGAAACAAGCCTGATATGATTTTCTGATCTTCTGGCACCCTAACAGATTTGGGTGGTAAATCTGAAATGTCAACAAACTGAATGTCCTTCCACAAGTTCAAAAACATATTCCCCTAAAGAGGTTCCGATGACTGTTGTACTTGAGTTATGTCACATTTTGACCCCTTTATGTTACACATCTTATATATTATAAGCTAGTCCCTAGTGACATCACCACGTAATCAGAAGTGTCCATTAAATGCAGATCCTCCAATGTTAATGTTATCAGGGCTCCAGATATAGGCCGTATAGGCACATGTACGGATAGAAATATCCACGATACTGAGTGGAATAATTTAGAAAACGTATCAGAAACGTATCACAGGATAAATGTACGGGCTGGCATTCATTTCCAGACGCATTTCCCAAAATTTATATTCTGATTTCAAGCAGCGAAAGTTCTTGAGCATAGTGCACACTTTTTCCAAAAGCACAGCTGTGTAAAGGGGTGCGCATTTTACATGACCACGAGTTTTGATGTTTTTCCCCCCACGCAAAGACTACCGTGAGCACGTAACCGGAACAAATACCGCAAATACCTGAACGGGTCAAAACGGCCTCATGTCAGAACGCCCTAAAAGGTAAAGTCAAAACGGTTTCAACCCATCTAACATGAATACCCTTTATACAAGATTATAACATTTAATTCCATTCCGTACTCTGAGTGTACTCTTTAGTTTTGCTGCTGATATTGGGATAATAAGGAGTACGTTCCCCTGATGTTGAAAAAGTATCTGGAGCCCTTGTTTATCCCGAGGAGTGAGTGAGTGAGTTGGATTTAACGCCGCTTTTAACAGTATTCCAGTTATATCATGGCGTGTCAGCTTAATGTGGGAGGAAAGCCCGAAGTGATGCAGTTCTCAGACCTTTACCACTTTGGTGCAACCCATATGGTGCTGACAAACCTAGAAACATAATTGGGGCGAACCGGGATTCGAACCCACAATCATAGGTTTCTGGCGCGCCCAAGGGACGCAACTCTTCACAGCGAATCGCGGCGCCTTAGACGACTGGACCACCCGTGCCCCCCTCATCCCGAGGAATATAGTAGAATGTGTGTACGTCCAACGACCATCTACTGATCGATGAAAGTGGTTAACAAACATGTCTGGTGTTGTCATACGTCGCCTTATGTGATGAGGCTAGCAATCTTTTCTACCTATTTTATTCGATTAAGATCCTTCAATGTTTATGTTCATACCGAGAATACTAGTATAATAGAGTTCAGGTCAAAGACGTGTGTGCGTCCTACCAACTATCCATCAGTACAGGTGGTTAATGAACGCCTCAGACATTTTGTCATAGCCGCATGACTTCACAAACATAACATGTTTATAATATAATTGTGATATTGATATATCACGAGCAGGTATTTATGAAACATATCAAACAATGATGATACCAGGTGTTCACGAAAAGGCGAACGTATCCTGTCCCACCTCTGGCACCCGTCACATTCACATGCTAAGGCAAGTCAAATGTCAAAACACGGGAACCTATAGTAAAAGTCAAAATAGGGAATTGCATCGTACATCATTTTTGTCACTGATGCGTTCAATTTTGAAATGTCCTCGACATGTTTTCCGTAAAACCCTTTGAAATCTTTACTGCGGCCTTGAATGTTATAACTTTGATCCAAAAAATCCTGAGCAAGAATTGTATGACGCTCTTTAAAATATTGGTAGAAAGAGCATCTAATATCAAGTTGAAGTCATCCCTCTTGTCATACAGTCTTGTAGAGAGTGTTTTGTCACTCTGAATCTCTATGCATAGATCTAAATATTAAACAGATGAGGCGGTCTTGCTGGTCTCCTTTATCTAGATCATTTGAAGGGAATTGTCTGTTTGATTGTTATTGAACGATATCAGATCATCGATATACCTGAAGCTAAAGTCAAACTTCTTGGCCAAATTATTAATTACACTTGTCTCAAATACTTTCAGTGAATATAAAGAAAGTCCTTCCTTGATTGAATTAAGGCTTATGGTTGGTCCATTTGCTGGAGCCAACAATATCTCTCTCTCTTTGTACGGATATTTATGACGCTATAGGATCTAGTACAAAAGAGGCATGGACATGTCTTTAGGTTTTAGAGTCAAGTTACAAATTGATAGTAATGATGCATGGTTTGGGCAGATTTCTTCTTCA